TTTCTTCAGTCTCGCCGAAATGATCTTTAGAGCTTTTCTTAATATATTGAAACATGTTATCATATTATAAACTGTACAGAGTGCCACTATAGTTGCAATAACATACAGCCAACTCAAAAGCGGGAAATACCACATAGAGGTTTGAAGAGAAACAGGGCTGTGATCTTTTGGGGTTTTCAGATCCAGACTGGAGGAGTGGCTACAGCAGAATCCAGGAAAACATCTCTGAACTCTCTGTCCAGAACAGTGCAGTCCTGAGGAAAGCTAAGTAAAGCTCCCAAACCTCTGGTAAAGCACCAGTGCTTTAAGTGAAACAACCCAAGGGGATAGAGCAAGTTTATACACTTTACTTAATGGTTTGGACTAGTTATCTCCACTGGTTATCAAGTATGGAAAACTTGTGTTGACTGTGGAAATGATGCATCGTCAAAATGTAATGTGTTTTAAAAATTGTTATTACTGCATGTTTTTTTATGAAATAAAAACCCTAGAGGAATATTTAAAATTCATTAATTTCATAATTTCATTTATTAATGTCAATATATTGTGACTTCAGGTCTTGTCTGATTTATGATTAAAAACTCTACAAAGTGTTGTTCTTTAACATGATAAAAATGTATGCCAAAGAGAAAGAGGTGCTGAATTAAACACCTCTGTTTCTCCTATTTTTTATTTTTTTTCTGTTTCTGTAAATAACATTTTCTTTGTCTTGGGGTGAAACAATCGGATTAATCGCAATGAATCGATTATTGAAAAAAGCGTCCACTAATTTAATAACTGATTAATCGTTAACTGGAGTATAGCGACTGTAAGACATGCCTTTAGCTGCTAGAGCAACCCACCTTTAGTAGTACTTATATCTAAATTGTAAAATATATATATATATAAACATTTGAAATTTAAGATAAAAAAAAAGTTTTTGCCTGTCACTATGCTCTATCCAGAACTCCTCAAGTGGAAAAGATTTAGTTCACCTGGTTTAATCTCATAAAAAAATCTTTAAGGAACCTTTTGCTATCTGATTATTAATCAATTAATAAAGAAAATAATGCATAGATTAATCGATTTGCAAAATAATCAGTAGTTGCAGCTCTAGTCTTATAGTTTACTTATGTAAAGCGGTGAATAAGGTCAGGACTATATTGTCCTATGCCTTAATTCATCCATTAAATGTTCCCCTATCAATTTTTTTTACTTTGCTATCATATATTTTTTTAAATACCGGTAAATCAAAATGCTCTAATTTTGGGTATTTTTCTAACCAGACTTTATATTTAATGCAAAAGCTGTGATAATAGTAAATTTAAAAAAATTTAAAAAGATCAGCCCTCTGTTATGTTAAAGCACAGTAAAAAAGCATGATGATTGAACTTTTTCTATGTTATAAATAACATCATATTTTCCCTTCAATATATTTAAGCTTATGAAAACAACATTTTCCTAGGCTATTTGTTGCTAACACCTTCTCTGGCACAACATGCAAAATAGCTTGTTAAACACACAGACCACACTGATTTACAATATGCTGAAGACTGCTTTTATTGCTATAAAAAAAATTATTTACATAGGTGGCAACTTTGACTACTGAAAAGGCAGAAAAAAAGGTTTTAAAACAGATACGCAGATGATGGAAAAGACTTTAACATTGTTTTGGTCATAATTTATAATTTTAATGTGATAAAGAATCAAACAAATAAAGAAAAACAAAACCAAATGGATTGGATGCTAAGAGGTTAATTAACTTAGCATTCACTGACTAAATGCACCTGTGTGGCCTCTGTCATTTCTGAAAATGTCAGTAAACACACCATGAATTTAGAGCTTAAAGCTTGCAGAAACTTCCACTTAAAAGGTTGTGAATGCCAAAAGGTGAGAGGCGTTCATAATTAACTTTTCCTATAAACTCGACAAACCCCCAAATATGTCAAAGGGCATTCAATGTATTTTTTCAGTTTGTAATTTTTATAAATACAAAACATCACTTGGTTACTTGATACTTAGCAGTTTTTTTTTTTTATTATCGTTTTCTGATTGTCATCATAATCATTAGTGATTACAAAGAAGCAGATATTGTGCTTAGATAAAAAATAATTGTTGGTGCTAAGCATGCTCACCATGCAGGCACCAGCTGGAAGAATCATGACAACACTCTTCATTCATCTCACATATATCTGAAACAGAAAAAGGTTCTGTGTTGATTTTCTTCAAGGTAACCTTTAATATTCCCTTTTCTCAATGTGTAACCTTACCATTACTGCCACCTCCTGCAAACCTGCACTAAAGCTCCATCACTGTCAAATCAGACGTTTGACAGGTAGTTTAGTTAAACCTTTATCATTTAAAGACCTAGTTAACTCATCGGGATTGTCAACACAAGTGAATGCCACATTGGGGGTCTTAGTATGTAGTATTTAGGTGAAATACATTTTGGAAGTTAGAAAACGTCGGCACAGTATTCTATTGTTATCTTCTCTTTATAGTATCTGTTACATTGCATGTTGGTGTTTATTTTTTGGAGGGAGTCTGACATGTTTACTTTACACTGCAAAAAATTCAAATCTCTTTAAGTAATTTTTTCTTAAAATACCGTAAATTCTCTAATATTGGCCTGTATTCCAATAGCGGCCGGGTCTCTAATAATGGCCGGTCTCGCTGTCAGAGGAGGTAAATAATGGCCGGTCTCTAATACAGGCCGGGGCTATAAACGTTTTTTCTGGCCATACCTCAACATTATACTTGTGGTAGTAACATACAAGTACCACAGCCCTGCGCAGCTGAACGACAGGCCCTGCTGCTGCCCGTCTGCGCGAGGAAGAGAACAGACACGCAGCAGAACAGGAGGAGCAGCGCGAGTGATGAGGAGATTAAAGGGAGAGATGAAGAGGAGGAGAAAAACTGAGGAGGAGAATTAAACAGAATTGGAGGATTTTTATATATTTTTTTTACTTCAAACCAAGCGAAACATGGTAACTGTACTTTTTCAATAAATGAACCTAGTGTTTTATAGGTTCAAATAGACACAAAATCTCATTTTTATTCCTTCCACTGGTAGTCTGTTTTGCTCAAATAGCGATAGAGGCCTGTCTCTAATACTGGCCTCTATCCAATAAAGGCCTGGACCGCGATGCACTTGAGTGAAATAAAGGCCCGGGCCTATATTAGAGAATTTACGGTAAGTGCATTCTTTCTTGAATTGAGGAGGTAAGTGAGACACATTGCCAATTCACAATTCACATTTAAAATAAGAAGAAACAATCGCATTGTCTTATTTCCATTGCATAATACCTAATTATCTAATTTTAGGAGTAAAAATACTCATTCAATTGGCAAATAACCTTATTTAACTGCTCAAATTAAGGGTAAATACACTTAATTTAACCCTGTAATGCCAAAAGTATCATATTTGATACATACGGTTTCTGAAATGTTTTGCGTCTGACACCTTTTGCATAATTTAATGGTAAAAACTTTGCTCAAAATCCTATCAGATATACCTGATAACAGAGGGCAGAAGACTACACAAAAATAATCTTGACTTATCGCATAGTAATAAATTATTAATATCAAAAATGTATTTCTGTTTTTTCTTTTTACATATTTTGTTAAAAGGCCAAATAAGGACTTCAAACCAAAAAAAAAGTAATTTTCTGTTTTGTTTTATTCTTGGAAGACATTTTTTCTAATTTGTACATTGTTTTTGCAATGTACTTGTTGATTCATATGAACTGTCCCTTACAAAGAGATCTATCTATCTATCTATCTATCTATCTATCTATCTATCTATCTATCTATCTATCTATCTATCTATCTATCTATCTATCTATCTATCTATCTATCTATCTATCTATCTATCTATCTATCTATCTATCTATCTATCTATCTATTTTTATTGTCATTACACTGTCACAAGTACAGCGCAATGAAATTCACTCTTTGCGTCACCTTTGGGACCAGTTGGCTGCTATATGCGGCCGGGGAGCAGTGTGGGGTCAAGGGTCTTTGCTCAGGGAGCCAGAGTCAGCCTATGGGAGTGGGTTTCAAACTCACAACCTCAGGATTCCAAGCTATATGCCTTAACTACTAGGCCTCCACTCTCCTTAAACACAGTGCTGAATACTGGGGTTGCTCACACCCAACAGTTACATTAGGTAAAGCATGTTATATAATCAGGTTTTCATTTTTGAGATGAATATTCATTGTTTTTTTAAAGAAAGGGGAAAAAAATCAAAGAGTCAAAGTAATGCCAATCTTGGGGGCAATATTGAATGCTTGTATGTTTCCTCAAGTAGAGTAAGCAATATGTTGATAAAAAACAAATCTTATCTTGTGTTTAATTGGTTATCCCCACCTTCAAATAATTAAAACGACATATAGCCAATGTATAAACCAAAGGCTTATCTACACAGATGGTTCTAGTATTACATTAGGTGTGCTGAAAGGTGTTAAAGTCAGTTAGCACCCAACCCCAGGACCACATATTCACAGGATCCCCAAACCACCGCCCATGTATATTTTCTTTTTAAAGTCTGCCCCTGGCTGTGGATACCAGAGGTGAATAAATAAGCTGATGCCTGTTGTGGGTCTCTGTTACAACCCCAAGGCTCACGAGATGCTCTCCACAAACAGCAGCATGTTTCAATAAATCTCTCTTGATTTATTATTCCTTTGACTGATTATACGAATGTAAATATTCAGTAGGAAAATATATAGTCTGGGTGACAGAGTGTCTTTTGCAAGCACCACCATGCCGCCCTGCTGGGTCAGAGCTCCATTGCCACTCACAATTATTTATTAGGCTACATATTCCCTCTCTATCCATCACCACATTGCCACCCGGCCTGGTCACATCTCTTAATGTTTATTACAGTGTCCCACCTTCCACCAGGAGGATGATTGACGCTTTGTCAGAGGACCGAGGTGGGACTTGCGCGCTCCTTTCTCTCCAATCGTGGCTTGAAGGGGGCGGAGGCTCTTCATCCAATACTCTGATTATGAGTCAGTTACCAGACATAAGCGAAACAATAACAGTTGGTGGGCTGGTTTGCGCTCAGGTCCAGGTTAAGTCTTTCAGCGCGTTTTTGTTTGTTTGTTTGTTTATTTTTGCGCATCAGACTCTCAGTTCTATGCATCCTGCAGCGCAGGAGCATAACGCGCTCCACTTTTAATCAGATTAAGATTAGTCCTGCGTTTCCTTCGTCCCTACAGTAGCGGTGCAGGAGTGGCCAAAGCCAAAAGCAGCGATTCAGATCAGATTTCACCTAAACCAGCTGGGAGAGAGAGAGAGCTGAGGAGAGGAGAGAAGAGAAGAGCAGAGGGTTTGTCAGTCTCCCTCCTCCCAAATCCAGAAAAGCTTACCAAGGAAAAAAGGAGGAGTGTCTGCGCGCAGATAGACGCGAGGAATCCAGAGGAATTTCCCGAGGATATTTGGTCTTCTTTCCTTCCCCCCTCCCTCCCTTCCTCCCCCCTCTGCACGTCAAATTAAAAAACAACAACAAGAAGAAAAAGTTGGAGGGGAGGCAGCGGGGACCGTGGTCTGGGATGGACGAGCAGCCGCGGCTGATGCACTCCCACGGGGTAGGCATGGCCGGACACCCCGGCCTGGCGCAGCATATGCAGGATGGCACGGCGGGGACGGACGGAGAGGGAAGGAAGCAGGACATCGGAGACATATTGCAACAAATCATGACCATCACAGACCAAAGCTTAGACGAAGCGCAGGCGAGGTAAGACTCAACTAATAAAAAAATGGTTTTATTTATGGGGACAAACAGAGGAAGAGGAAAGATGATAGTGGCTTCATAGAACCGCCTGTAAGCAATGACGCCCACTGAAGTGTCGATCTGCGCGCAAGCAACAGAAAAACCCTGGAAAACTTAAAGATTTCACAATCTGGCAACTTTTGTGTGATTATTTCCTATCGGGATTATTAATTAGTGCCTGATTATAGCGGATTAGGAAAAGAACCTGTTTTATCTGTGAGGGACTTGGCAGCTCAGTCACTCTCAGAGTATTTTGCCTTAATTGTTACAAAGGAGCTTACATTGTAATCCTGTGCCATAATAACAGGATGCAGATCATCTTCTATGGTTTACCACATGCACAAAACGCAAAAAGTTATCACATAAAAATAATATATGTTTAACAGGTGAGGTGTAAATAAATATATTTTTTTAATCTATGGGTCATGAAATAGCTACATTTACAACATGGTTAATTTTAAAGAAATTAGTCGGGTTTTGTGGAGATGCACTGAGGGTTACCCTGACCGGTGCCGATATCCAGTTATAGTGAGAAATATCCTGCTGATTCTTCACTCCATATACCGATTTTATTGACTTTAAATTTCTGTTAACTATACAGAATAAATCTGTTACTGCTCTATTTATAGGGTTGGTCAACTATCTACGTCTATTCATCAAAATATATTTGATTTTTTTAATAATAAAAAATGCATCAGATTTGTGATGGGAAAAAACATAGTTTTGATGCAGCTAACTGGAGCAAAAAAAAAATATATATCAATCAGAGTCAATCCATGAAAATTGGTTCCAGAGGATGGTTAGGGCTTTTTTTTTTTTTGTCATTTCCAAATATGTTGTATTTACCTGCAAATCCTTGTGATTTGCAGGTAAAATCTGATCTGAAATTCTTCAGTATTTGACCAACTGTTCACCTATCAAAGCCAATCTAGGGAAAACTGACCAGTACTAATCTCTAGTTGACTCTTAGGTTTAAATATTATCAAGCTCTTCTATCTGAAAAAATATTTGATTAAACTGTTTGAATTTATAAAGTTTTATCTGTTTGCACACATCAGAGTCAATCAATGAAGATTGGTTGATTCCACTCACTGACTGACTGAATGGTGTATAATCAGTATTCCAGTAGGGGGGATGAGGGGGAATGGCATCCCCCCTTCTTAAAAAAATCTTAAAAAGCACCTTCTTAAACACCACCCCCTGTGACATTTTATTACTGAATGTGTAAAATGTTACAATATATTGACAGTAATTTCAGTAGTATTGCCCTTTCAACATTATGCTGGCTGTGGGCTTACGAGTGTTATCTTACCTGTATTTGTCCCTAACTATGTAGGGGCAGTGATAAGTGCCAGTCCAGGGACTGACTGCAGTTCTACTGTAAGGTGCCTTGGTCAAGGTCAATGACCGGCGTACCTAACATGTAACAACCATACCATGCATAATGCTTTAGGTTAATAGACTATATTAATTAGGCTTTGTATGCCTCTAAAAAAAAAAAAAAAAAAAATTCCACCGTCCCTCTTCTTTTTTTTTTTTTTTTTACAACTAGACTACTGTGTATAATTCCACAACCCAAAAAAATAATTCATGCATCTTTTGCATCTACTTAAGCGTATTTAGTGCCTTTAACACAACTGTTTAATGCTAGCAAGGTAGAACATTAAAAAATGTGTTAAAATAACAAAAAATTCTTAAGTAGATACAAAAGATGCATTAATAATTTTTTCCAGTGATGCTTTATTAAATTACCAATTGTCACGTAATAGATAATAAAAAGCATGCTTACGTCTATCTTTCCTCCCATTTCTGCTTTTTGCTTTAGTATTGACCTGGTAATAAATGTCTTGTCTTCTTTTTTAGGAAACATGCACTCAATTGCCATCGAATGAAACCTGCTCTCTTCAATGTCTTGTGTGAAATAAAAGAGAAAACAGGTAAGGACTCACAGCCGAGAATGTTTTGGCTGCAATAGCACCCTCTTTGTGTCTAACCATGACTTTCTTTCCTCATAATTGCGTTCAGGGTTTATACACACACACACACACATAGATGGATCTATCTATCTATCTATCTATCTATCTATCTATCTATCTATCTATCTATCTATCTATCTATCTATCTATCTATCTATCTATCTATCTATCTATCTATCTATCTATCTATCTATCTATCTATCTATCTATCTATCTATCTATCTATCTCTCTCTCTCTCTCTCTATATATATATATATATATATATATATATATATATATATATATATATATATATATATATATATATATATATATATATATATATTTAAATTTTTTCCCTTAGATGTATCATGTTTTTCTATGTAAAAAGGCTGATAAAACCTACTGATATTGGGTAACAGTGTTGGCATTTTAGACTTTCTCACTTCTCTCCATTGGGTTTGATAGCTTCTGCTTGGTGAGCTGTTTTTCATGCAGAGGAATCGTCTGTTTATGTGCACAACAGGGGTCAAAGCCACAATAAAGAATGTGTGAATTAAAAAAAATTTAACAGCAGATTAAGAAAGGAGAGCAGCTCACATGATGAAAGGTTGTGAGTTGTTTCAGAGGGAAGTGGCAGAGCAGCGCTTTTCAAGGGAGGGGGAAAAAAAATCTAATATGGGCTTATCTAAGAGCACAACTTTGAGGCTGTCTGCGAGGTTATTGAGAGGAAGCCTTGTCACTTTGTCGGCTGGCTTGTAGCGTCGCAGCAGAAGAAACACAGGGACCAAGCTGTATGGAGGCAATACTGTTTTCATTAATATAACATGAACCTCTCTGCACTGACATTTCATCTGTATGAGTCAGAGTTTGGCACAGGTTTCTCTAAAAACAAGAGAGGAAACATGTAGACACTTGAGATTTTCATCAGATTTACAAAGAGCGCAGGGCCCCTGTGGAGGAAGCTACAGTGCAGACTGGGGGCCCGCGCTCTTAAATTGCAAGGCTTGGAAAAGTGAAAGAGTAATGCCTGGCTCTTTGTAAACTGTCTGGCGTCTCCCTGGGTTCAACCAGAGTTCGTTTCCAAAAAGAAGAACAAAGTGACTTGGACCTTTTCCTGGCTTTTCCCCCCTTTGCCTCTCCCCTCATCCCACCGTTCTTGGCAACCAGGCTTCTGACAGGAGAAAGGCTCCCGTCAGACTGCAAATTGTCCTCCCCTCTGCTTAGTACCAAGTTTGGAAATGAACATGTTTCAAAACAGCTTCTATTTTTTCCATTATTGCTTTGCTCTTCTTTTCTGTTTTACTCGGCGAACACTCACCAATCTTCTGATGTCTTCCACAGCTTTATGATGACAAAAAAGCATTTAGAATGTATGAATAACATAAACACCCCCCACTCACACATGCACTCACTCCTAGAGATGACTAGAAAATATAAAAATCCACCCTGTCTGGGTTTGAAGAGCTGAGCCGCGGCTCATCTTCGCCTATAGGAGGTTTGTGCAGACGAAACTGAAAATCCTTTCACTGCAGTGACAGAGAAAATGACTCAAACCTTCACCATGGCATTTACAGCCAAATGTGCTGAGTGCAGTGTATGCGAGTGGAGTACAGCCTGTAATTTGTCAAGACTTTTTTTATTTTCTTTATAAAGAGTCAGCTTCTCCTTGCTTTTTACATTGTTGCAGTCAGAGCATCTCCGAGATAAGATGACGAACCCAGCCGCTCCGGTTCAATCTTTTACCAAAGACATGATAAGTCTCTCCACATTAGTGATTGTTTGCTTCACATATGAGCCGTGCGCACCTCTTCTTTGCGCTGTGTTGGCGGCGTGAGTGTTGACAGCAGCAATATGGGTCATTGCCGCAGTGAGGTGTCCATTGGCAGGCAGCTGACAAACAAAACGGGAGTGCATGCCAATAGCAGACAGAGGAGGGCCCTAACTGATGACCCTGCGCCACCTTGCTCCCCTTTTGATTTGTGCAGGGGCCGTTGCTGTGTCACCGCGTTGGAGTATTTAGCAAGCTTAAACAAGCTCAGGTCCACATGCCTGACTTATGGAAAACCAACGGCAAAGGCTTGTGTTACCTCGCATAGAGATGTTCATTTTGGAAGCTGAGATTGTGTTTCACAGAAACATTTTCCTCCCACCTCCTGAGACCTCATTTTAGACCATTAGCGTTACAGGTAAAGTTAAAGAAAGCACTTGGTGTTTGGCTTTTTTTTTTACGTTTTTTACTGTGCTTTCCTTCATGTCCTGTATCTAGGGCTGGAAAGCGTCTTTGTTTGCTTGGAACCATTACGCCGAGGGAAACTGGCACGTACAGGTTGACTAAGTAAGAGAAGCCAGACACCAAGTCGGTGTTTCTGGGAGTCAAATTTCAGGCCAACTCACCCCACCCTCCTCCTCCCCCCACACACACCAGTTTCTTCCTATCTGCGGGGCCTGGGACTCTTTTTCTTTCGTCAGGCCTTTCTGTGTGAGCAGCCTCACATTACATCCATGCAGACTTGGGTCAGATGGAGAGCTCCTGCATGACTAATGTGATCAGACGGATAATGCATTACACCGCTTGAACTTATCAAAGCTAGAGACCTGCTGAATCAGTCTGTCCTGCTAACAGCAACCCTCCCAGAGCCTGCACTGGATAATTGGGCATCACATTTGAGATATTCACAGCCATCAGGACGTTTTAAAGGTTTCTTAAAGGAATAAGAATGCAAAAGAAAATATTCCGAAAATTTTCGGCATGAAGCAGACTAGAGCTGCTATCGTTGAACGGTATGCTGTAGGTGTCGACTTCTCACAGATAGGGAAGAAAGGCAAGGTTTGATTAAGTTAGTTTGAAAAACAGTTAAAAGTAAAGATTTGGTAAAACAGTCCCATTAATTTTTTTTATATCCTTTGAATAATCCAGTGAGCTGAAGATCAAATTTTAATGTTGAGGCAACCCATACATAACATTAAGACATGAGGAAACCTTAAAAGTGGTGTAAGCTCAGCTTTAGGGTAGAAAGATCTTCATAAATAATCTGTAAACCATGCAAAAAGATCCGGAAGTATGTACTGAAAACTAAAGGCAGCTTAATTCATTTTAGTATGAATAAATTATATCCTGTTTTAAAGCAATAGTGTGGTCTAATATTCATTTATTAAAAAATATTTTTTATTTTTTATTTGGGAGGTAAAAAAAAGATGTGTATAGTTGTAAATATAGTATATTTGTACCGTACTTGTGGAAGTAACCATACATTTTTAATCAATAGTTTTATTAAACATTGAAGCTGTAGGACAATTGTTGGATGAAGTTATGTTTTCATAAAAACAACATGGCAGCCATTCTTGAATAAAAATAATTTCTTTAAAAAAAAAAGTTTTAGGCTCCAGTGGCCTTTATTGCAGATACCGCCTGGACAGGAAACAGGAATGAGAAAGAAGGGAGAGTGACCTACTGCAAAGGCCTGTAGGTCAGCATTGAAATCTGGTACAGCTAGATGAAGGTCCAAGATTATGATCTGGATCATCACCAAAACTGAGTGGACTGTTCCTTGGCACGATGCACACCTCTGATAAAAAAAATAATTAGAATCTAGAACTTTTCAAGCTATACCGTACACAAACAGACAAACACACACTCACACAACCTCTCCTAAGAATATAACCTCGGTGGCAGATAGATACAATAGATTACCTTACCCAACACCTGCCTACTGCTGCTCACTGCTGGACAGCTGACTGAAACAAGACTCCAATAACTCACTTACAAAGTCAAATGCAGTTTTTGGTAGTATTTCTAGCTGAATATACAGTAAGATGTCTCTCTCTTACTCTCTATCCATCTATAAGAATGCAGACTTTAAATTATATATATATATATATATATATATATATATATATATATATATATATATATATATATATATATATATATATATATATATATATATATATATATATATATATATATATATATGCATTGTTATAGATAGATAGATAGATAGATAGATAGATAGATAGATAGATAGATAGATAGATAGATAGATAGATAGATTATCACAGCCAATTTTCAAAAATAAAGAGTCTTTGCGAGGACTAAAAAATTCTTAGAAATGACTGAACTAAGACTAAAACAAGAATTAAAAGAAGCTGACGATGAAATTGTCTCCTGGCATTTAAATAAACAGTTTACACCGTAACTCTCTGGATAGGTTTGATATAAACCTGCAGGTGCATGGTGATAATGTCAAATGGCTATTTTCAGCATTTCCTTTAATATCAACACTAAACGATGATGGAGGTACTCGTTGAGTTCCTGTGCAGCAGTGGATAAACTGGTCACTATGGCTCCCAGTGCTGCTGTTTTTCAGTATTTAATTGACACGGCTGTCCATGATGAGTTCAGGGGTTAGTGTTGCCTCTCTTTGTTACTCTCCTCTCATATCCAGTGACAGATGGAGGCATTAGTCTCCAATGTGGCGCTGTCCTGAAACTAATGGCTATGTCCTTGGTTTCCCCGTGCTAGCTGGGAGACTGTATATCTGTCCCTGGCTTGGAAGTGCAGAAGCAGCAGTTTATCCCCCACCACCCCCAGCCCCTTCATGTTTTAGTTTCCACGGAAATAAGACTGAGCAGGACTTTGTCTGCTCTCTCATAAATAACTTCAAAATAAATAACTTCAAAAATGAGAGTGAAGTTTTTTTTTCTTTCTGAGAAAAGTGGGCTTTGATTTGTGAGCTTATATGAACCTCTTCCTACTTTTACCAGAAATGTTCATCCAAGTGCGGGATAATAACCATGTGATATATCTTTACAGAGACTGTGCAGATTATAGCTTTTAAAGTAAGCTACAGGATATAAAAATAATCTGCTGTCCTTTTTAATGTCTGGCTTTATATTTGTACTTCATTACTCATGCACTTCAGAAGAAGCAGCAACTATTTCTGCTGCCTCCCTGTCCTCCAGCATAAACTCACTTGCA